TTTTGCCAAAAATGTCCTTGATTTTTCATAAGTTTAAAGAAAGTTTATTTTAAAGAAAAATATACTATATGCAAAGACTTTACAGAATTAGAAACTATTATTCTGAAAGAAGTGATAATCATATTGTTAGGCAAAATTAAATTTTTAAGAAAATAAAAAAATGAAAACTACTATTTTAAGAAATACAGCCTGCCTAGTAACTACATTAAATAGAATCGCATTTGAAGGTTTCGTTTGCCGTATATGTAGCAAAATAAGAATACTTGGTGTTTGTATTTCAAAATTCCTAGTTTAACATCATGTATATGTTATATAATAGACGTTGAAGAAAATGAAGATGCCGGAGCAACCTCTCTGCCCACTCAGCCACCTCAGCCATCATCATCTTCAACTTACGACCCAAGCAGCATGCCATCAGGCAACTATACTGGAATACAGATTCCTCCAGGCGCCCATGCTCCAGCTAATACACCAGCAGAAGTGCCTCACAGCACGGGTAGGAAACTAAAACTGAACAATTTTTTAATTCTCCTTTTATAAATAATTGCTGTACTACTTACCGTATTTGTGCTTCATAATGATGGTCGTGAGCATATATGGTCCTTAAATTCCATTTGAACCCACCAAAAAAATTAAATTATTTTAATTGAAGTTTTAATATTAGTTGTTATACTTTTTGAGAAATGACAAATACTTGTTTTGATTAATATTAACCTTATATTTTATTAATAGAAATAGTTTCTGTGCTTCGCGTGTGTATTGCTATTCTTTTTTCTTTCCTTCCCTTCCTTCCCTGCCCCCTTCACTGTTGTTTAAGAATAGCGCTGAGGTGAGTGGGGTTTCTATAGGATGTGTCCGTCAGGGTCTCACTCTGATAGCAAGATTAAGTTTGTCTTGCCTCATTCCCTGAGGACCCTTCTCCTGCCCTGACATGGGTATTATTGATAATGGGGAGCACCTTTGAGGTGCAGAATCTCAGTAACAGTGGAATCACAGACAAGTGAAAGGAAGGGTTAAGATTTTATTTTTGACTTTACAAATGCGTGAATTAAAAAAAAAACAGGGAAGAGATATCTGCTATCTTTGAATAAATCAATACTGTGTGTCAATGTTTTCATAGAAAAAAGATCTGATGAAACCAGTGTCCAGTAGTAAGTCAGTGTCAGCAGATAAAGGCACTTTCACAAAATTGAAAGTATTCCTCATTTACTTGTATTGTTGACAAAGTATCACCCTTACTTCCAAATAGAAGGGCGTTAATGATGATAATTTAAATTCTGTTTATTTTAATTTTTTTTCAAGAATTGTTCTTAAAAAATTTGTATTTATCCCAGTACAAGAGTGACCCATGATACTAAACTTTGCAGTCATTTCAAAATATTTAATTAATGGAATAAGAGGCATCCACTGACCTCTGATTTCTACTGCTTCTATTATGTAACACACTATTATGTCACTGCCTTTTAGTTGTCAGCCTGTTTTACGCGAACTATGTAGGTTATTTTGTATGAGTTGAATTTACTTTTAAAAGTTTTCTGTTTTGACCATTGTAACAACAATTATTTGTCTCTTTCGTCCTATTTAAAAACTTTCAAGTTTATATTATCTGTAGGTATTGCTAATATTTTCCCTTTAAGATTGTTGATGAAAGTGATAATTTTAGCATTGATCTCTTTTATGTCTTCATTTGGTATATTTTGGCCTGACTTTTCAATGTTTTATGTCCTGTGTGATCACATTAATAGACAAACCAATTTGAATTTGTTTTGTAAGTAAAATTTCATGCAACACTGTTTTAAATATTTTATTATGTTTTAGAAATAGTATTTCCAAGGTAGAATAATGTAAGCGAAACTAGCTATTTAGGTGTATTTGCCTTAGGTGAATACTGTTCAATTATATTCAGAAGTTTAAACACTGATCAAGAGTCCCAGGCGTAGGCATTCTCATACAGGGGCCATGGGGAAATAAAATGCATTTGGGGATCAAATAGTATTGGTTATTAGTTTCCACCCCTTGCTAAACCACAAACTCAACTGGTATTCAAATTCTCTTGACCTAGGTTTTTCCTCTTTCTAACATGAAATTAATCATACTTATGGTTATTTTAATTAAAGGAGGAAAGGTATAAAAATTCAGTAGTACTATGCTTAGCACAAAATCAGTGTTCAGCAAATTAGCTTCCTTTCCCTCTTTCTTTTTCCCCCTCTTCCTTGCTATTTCTATGCCAAAGAAGGGGTATTCAATGACAAGTTAATGAATACTTAAGATTGTTTTGTGAATCAAGAGAACCATCACATCTAGGAGTAGGGTATTAACCTTACAGAAAGGCTGCCCCCCACGGGATGCTGCTTTAGGCAGTATATTTTAAGGCAGAGTTGTGGTATTGGCACATATATGAATGTATTATGTACATACACACACACAATGAATATGTGAAAGACAAACACACTTTTAGTAGGAGGGCTATATTAAATTGATCCATATGAAATCGCTAGTTTTATGTAACAAAAATGGTAAAATACTGGTAGTTTCATATGTTCAAACTAATAGACAATATTTCCTGGTTAGAATATTCATGACGTAAAGATAGTTATTAGGAGGTGGTATTATGTTAGAAAGTCTTCTGACATGAACGGTTTATTTTTATCCAGTTAACTCTGACATGAGCCTCTTGTTTTCTCTCTCTTTTGTTCTTCAAAGGGGCAAATAAAACTACAAACCTTAGAACTTTTGTAGAATGGGGTCCTTTCCTATTTAAATGCTTCTAGACTTAGTATTTAAATAATTATCATAGCTAATTTACACACTTTGTGCAGCAACTAAATTAAAGATTGCTGTCTCTAATTTACAAACTCTAAAGAGAGTAAGCAATTATCCAAGGGAAAACAAGCATACCCAGTAATTGACAGAACCAGAATTTGAATCCAGGTTTATTTGACTTCATGTTTTGGCCACGTCCCTTCTTCCAAGAATGTAAAATCCTGTCAAGGCAAAAACCTACTTTTCTGATAGTATATTTCCCCTTAAGATTGGTTTGAGATGTTGGAATCTCCTCCTCTTAGCCTCCAATTTTTTTTCTATTGTATTTGAAACAGTAAAAAAAATCAGTTCATAGTTGCCTAATAAAAAACAAAATAACATTTTTAGTTTATAAATATAGCAGATGTTTCCCCTCTTACTCACTTTAGGAATGATTTACTTTCTCTCATATAAAGGTCCAGGATGCACTTTTATCAAAGGGAAATCCTTAAGATAGCTGAAAAGAATACTATGTACCAATTTACAGTTTTTAGTTCTTCCACAAAAAAGCAAAGGGGGTGCAACGAGGACAGGGATAGTGATTGTTTAAACAGACGAAGTGTTTCCTTCTTGTGCTTTAACCACTGTGCAAATATCACATGTAGGTCTTA